CCCTTCTGAAACCGCCTTGAATAATGGCGACGATATCAACTTCATTTTTGTAAAGACGAGAGCGAAAGAGGAAGGTGGCCACTGACAAAAACAAAAAAGATTCGGTAAAGGAATCGTAGTCCATTGGAATATTTATTCCATTAAAATATTTGAATGAAAGAGAAAACGAGTGAGCGAAATAGAAAAAATGTTTAACAAGAAATAGGACTCAGCAACAAACTCATCACAAAGGCACCATGATTGAATGGAGTTCCGTATCGCAGGGTGAGGAAGCGATGATCAATCAAAGGTAAGCAATTTATTCTTCAATTTATCCTATCCTTTTTATTCCTTTAATTGCACACTTGTAGAAGCCTCCAAAAATGTATATGTATTCGGAAAAAAAATTTTGGGGCAGAAAAATTGTTGATACCGATTTAGTTTAGGAGAAGGACCAAGGCAGAAATAAAAAAATATGAGTACCACTAGGTGAAGAATTTTTGATTTTATTTGCGTATTACGCCATCCACGGTCGACTGAAAGATCGGCGAATATGGCAATCTAAAACTTCCTTCAGCACCCCACTTTTATTTTCAATATTTTCTTAATAGACAGGTTTTTTATTTCTTCCCTAGCTGGCTATCGCTTTTCCCTTTAGTTTTTAGACCCTTTTTATGCACTTTTTGGCACTCCAAAAAATTCACAGTGTCAAAAGAGACTCATCAGGAAATTGGCAGTGACGAGAGTTTTTCCAATTAACGAGTTGACAAAGAAGTTCAAGACGACGATTGGAAGAGCGATAAGCGCGAAAAGTACCTTTGAATGCCGGTGTTTGCCCTGGACAAGGGGGATTTTACTATCCCCGCGACTGCACATTGTTGCCAGGGTTATAGAGGCACACATAGTGAACCTCATGCCTTAGTTCAAGCCCTACCTAGGGTCAAGGCTTCTGCCCACCACTCAGCATTCCTGTGAAGCTCATGCTATTTCGCAAGTTTACAAACGTTTACGGGCTTCGTTAATTTCCTGCGATCCTTCAGAAAAGCTTGCGGGTTTACCATGGTGAGCAAACTGAAGAAACAACCAGAATGAGTAGATACCCCCCCCCTAGGTCTAACAGGGCCCTAAAGCATTTTCTTGACATTCACGGAGCCGATATGGATTTGCAGAGACACTACTTCCCAGATAATTTTCCTAGTAGGATTAAAACAATCAACCAGAGGATCTTTGGAGCTTACGCGAGAATTTCTTTGAAATGTTCGATAAAGGAAAGGAAGTTACGATGGGAGCGAGAAAGCATTCTTTACGACAATGAAAGGAGGGAACAGGTCTGAAGAAGAGACAATTTCGGGGGAAAAACCTCGGAAGAGATAGCGGAGAGGCAGTTGTTCGCCTTCCTTCAGTTTGCGATCTTCGTCGGACGAAAAATCAAAGTGATAGATAATTAACACGAATGGCACTACCACTGTCAACACCGACTGCTGCTACTGCAGTGGTCCTATCGATCAAATAGTCAGCAGTTTTACTACGGAACGTTACTATTACATTGAAAACCATCGAATGGACATAGTATAGTGCACAAAATTCAATATTTTTTTATTACGACAATTTGATAACAGTGATTCCTATACAATTCGACGACGCAGTTCGGCTTGGAAAGGGCACTTTGCCTTCCTTTACTTCCCCACCGTCAAATCCGCCACTTTAAAAGAGTTAAGAAGTGGCCTATACAAACTTCAACTAGTATCACTTCATGGCTTTGCAGGATTCACTGATCTCTCTATGACTTGACAAGACGATGGGAAGCAGTGAAAGTTCACTCCTCGAAGCTGCATCTCTAACGTGATGAGCTTGCAAGACGATGGGAAGCAGTGAATGTTCAAGAATACCCCCGTCTCCCTAAGATCGAATGAAAAAGCCACTCCAACAGGCTACATATTTCAGCACGCCCTCCGATCGATTCACGTATTGTCGCGACCGGCAGTTGTCGATTAAGAGTTTTCGGGAACAGGAATGAAATCAGATCCACCCGATCACTGATTATCAACGCCCACCAGCACCCGACCATTGGCAGAGATTCGGTGAGTCATTAACGACCTAAAAACAATAATATTATGGTTTTATGCGTGTGGAATGGTCCAGAAACCTATTCTTAGCAGCATTGCCACCGCACTCGTGGTGGGACCAGATGTCAGTTGAGGTTTTCCAGTAGCTGATTGCTCGATACCTCACTGGTCTCGCGCGTACACGCGAAAAAACAGAGGGTCTCAGTGACTGAACAATAATGCAAAACGTCTTTTCCCGAACAAGGAATATAGATGAATACTTCTCCAGACAGGCGGCGTGCACGTTTTGTAGAGATTTTCCAGTGATTGCTCGTATTACTTTACTCCACGAGCGGGTCGTGCAGTACGGGCTTGTACTTGTTCTTGAGAAAAATATTTTTACTTGCTCACGTGACTCGGTCCCTCTTTCTTTAATTCACAACTACCCCATATTGCGGCCTCCCTTATCCGACGCGCAGCGCGTAGGGTTTCGGGCTCGGGAGAAATTTAGAAAAAATTCCTGAAAAGACGCAAAAAGAGTTTGAACAGTTCGCCGAAGAGAATGGGGACGATGGGATATGAGCAAGGAGACGGCCAGGAGTCACCGCCGCGCTTGAAACTAGGTCACCGCGCGCGCGGCGACCTGTCCGCGTGGCGCGGCGGTGAGTCCTGACCTGGCATTTTGCCAAGTTCCGATCAATACGACCCTATCGCCATTTTCTTGTAGCGTTCTCTCTTTTCCTCATCTTCTATCTGCCAAGAATCCCTCTTCCCAGCGCGGCGACCTAGTTTCGGACGCGGCGGTGAGTCCTGACACACACAAGAAGGGGAGCGGGTCGTCCCAGAGGAGGGAATATTTGCGGCGAGTCGTACTTTTTCCCCAACAGTAGAACGTGTCCTGCTCCCAGACCACCCAAGCTCTCCATTCCTCAACTGGTTATCTGGCTTGCATGCAAAGGACTTGCGCGCCGGCCCTCCGCGAACAAACGCATGGACCAGGTGAGCGCCAGGAAGTCGGTAAGGTTCGAAGGGGGTCCTTGTAAGTCGAAGAAGAGTTCACACCCTCCTTCTCTTCCCCTTATCTCCCATGTGGAAACACCTTGATTTCTCCCGGAAAAATGTCCCGAAAAACAGATTACCCTATTTATCAACGAAGTCAAACTCCTGATAGACTCCTGCGGTGGTATTATGCTTTACTAGCTGATTTCTAGGCGGCGTGGGCCTCCTTATCTCATAGCGAAAACAGCCGTCTGTCTGTTGGCCAGGAATGGAATGGCAGCCGTTGGGTCAATCGGATCAAAAATTAAAAAAAAATGAAAAAAGGTCCACGTCATGGGTTTAAAGGCACATTCCACGGTGGTCATATAAGTTGATCACCCGTGTTCATCTTTTTTCTTCTCAAAATGAGGGGACACGAAGAAGGACGTACTCGTGTACACTTAACTAGCTCCACCCAGACAACAATCGTGGAATGCGCTTTTG